GATGAACAATAGTGTAAAAGAATAAAAACTTAAAAGTAATAAAGCATTTTACACTTTTAATTCGATCCAATTTAACATTTCCAAATATTTCCTCCTGTAATACATGCAGATTGTGCAGTGAAACAGTAAATACAAACATAAAAAGTGATTTATTTATAATATGTAACATTGATGCATATTAAATACAGCATGGTAACATTATCCATCAGTTAGCAGAAAACAGAGCGATTAATGACCTACAGGTGAATGATAAAACTCAGTAACATTATCAGATGTTTTTTGTAGCTCTATTTCTATGTTAACTGTCCTCACAAAACCCTCACAATTGAGCTGTTTGACACCTGCAAGCATTATTTGCACTGACATTTCTACAGTTAGTACTCAAACACGTCATATATTTAAATGTAGTTATACATTTTACATCACAAGCCCTTTTCTGATTGAATCTATGTTTCGGAGTGTGTCATCACTGTAACTGTAATCACGTTAGAAGTGACAGGTTGTTTCTCTGAGGAATCCAACGGCTGTTTGACTTCATTGATGTCGTTTTTTCTGTCTTTATATTTAGAAAAACAACATTTCAAAACTAAGCCTAAAGGGGCAAAGCTAAGTAGAGTGGTGTTGGTCCTGGTGGGTTTTTTCTCTGAGGATCTCACTGGCTGTATGCCTGAATGGTCGTCTCTTTTCTTGTGAGTAAATTTAGTAAAACAAACTTTCGTAGCAATAATACCCATCACAGCTGCTGCTGCTACTGCTGCGACTGCAATGGAGATCCAGTAGTTTCTCCCACTCTTTGGTTGTTGACTCTCTGTTGTTCCCTCTGGTTTAAACTCAGCAGCTGCGGAAAAGGACAAAAATCAACCTTAGGATGATTCCCTGAAGTGGAAACATTTAACCATTTTAGAGTGATTTACAGATTTAGGCACCGGCTCCCAACCAGCTCTAGAATCACCACGGTGTATGATATGCAGATGTTATGCTTTTCTCTCATTCATTCATTTAAGATGTAATTAATGCTTGCTTTAACCCGTCGGTTAGACAAAAAAAGGACGTTTTTAAGATTTGAGAAGCAAAACTCTTTTGGCTGTGGAGGATGACATTCATGGTCCTCAGAGGATGCTTCCCTGATGGCTTTGTTGAGTTTCTGTTATTTCCTCTAGCGCCTCAATGAGGTTAACTTTCAACTGTTAACTTTCCAATTATTTGGCTCTATGGAGCCTAAAGTTGTTTTACTTTGTGACTTCTACTGAGGTTACTCACCAGTGACGTTGAGCCAACATCTCCTAGAGTTAGTCCCATCAGGTGTGACGAGTATGTCACACACATAAAACCCAGAGTCACTGGTCCTGAGTCTGGAGACATGAAGTGTGAGGCGTCCTTCTGTGAGGACGTCTTTGTCCCACTGGACTCGTCCTGAAAACTCTGGATCCTGAGACTCTGGGAATTCAACACCTTCACGTAGTTCAAACAGAACTGAGGTTCGGTCATTAGTATAAAGGTAACAGTTGGTAGAGATGGAGCTGAGGGAAGTGTCTCTTCTGGTGCTGAAGGTCCACTCCAGGGTGATGTTCTGGTTCTCCTCTGCCTGATAGGAAGTCTGAGTCACATTCACTACAAATGTTCCTGTGGAGGAGACACAGAGGGACTCTTTAAACTACAGCTATGTTCCTGTAGAGGAGACACAGAGGGACTCTTTAAACTACAGCTATGTTCCTGTGGAGGAGACACAGAGGGACTCTTTAAACTGCAGCTATGTTCATGTGGAGGAGACACAGAGGGACTCTTTAAACTGCAGCTATGTTCCTGTGGAGGAGACACAGAGGGACTCTTTAAACTGCAGCTATGTTCTTGTGGAGGAGACACAGAGGGACTCTTTAAACTGCAGCTATGTTTCTGTGGAGGACACAGAGGGACTCTTTAAACTGCAGCTATGTTTCTGTGGAGGAGAAACAGAGGGACTCTTTAAACTGCAGCTATGTTCTTGTGGAGGAGACACAGAGGGACTCTTTAAACTGCAGCTATGTTTCTGTGGAGGAGACACAGAGGGACTCTTTAAACTGTAGCTATGTTTCTGTGGAGGAGACACAGAGGGACTCTTTAAACTGCAGCTATGTTTCTGTGGAGACACAGAGGGACTCTTTAAACTGCAGCTATGTTCCTGTGGAGGACACAGAGGGACTCTTTAAACTGCAGCTATGTTTCTGTGCTGCTTTACTGAGAACAGCTTTAAAGAGACTAACTGAAGCTAACCAGAGACAGAGGTCTCCTCAGGTGAGGAAGAGTATTAGGGTATGAGGGAAATAAAGAAGAAAAGGACTATTTTACTTTTTCATTTAACATGTTAAGAAAAAAGCCAAAATGTTGAGTAAAATATCAATCTTTCAATTTGAGTGCAGTTATTAGGAAAAATGTATCAGAAAAAACAGTTAAGCGCTTTAAAACTTTAATTATTGAGAATAAACATTGAACTTTTAAGAACAAACTACTTTTGTTAGAGAATATACTGAAAGCTCCACTTCTTGACATTTTGATTTAAAAAAAGCTAAATCAAATCAGAATCCCCCTCCTCAGTTTTGACCCTCTTGCCTTGCACTAATAGTGTTCCATACCAAAGAGCTCTAAGATGCTTCTTTATGAAAAGGTAAAACGTGACACAAAAAGTTTTCAATAATATTCAATGTGTCTGAGTGGGAAATAAAGGAGTAAACTAACCAGAGACACAGGGGGTGAGGAAGAGGAGCAGCAGGGTGAGGAAGATCATCTTCTCCCTGTGAGAGAACACACACACACCCACACACACACACCCACACACACACACACACACACACACACACACACACACCACACACACACAAACCCACACTCTGTCTTTACCACATTACTTATTACACAGAGGACTGACACCAGGAACAGTAACATATGTCTGTCACTAGGTGGCGCCAGATATCAACATTATATTTTCTTGAACTGAATCAGGAAATACTTTCTTGCTTTGAGATCAGTGAACACAGGACTGAAATACAGGACCAACTGAAACCCCTTCAGTTTTGTTTCAGAATCTCTCTGAATATTAACAATAAATAATACAAATAATTAGGGCCCGAGCACGTAGCGCTAGGACCCAACGGCGTCCTAGCGCTACGTGCGAGGAACCTATTGTTATTATTGTTATTATAATAGTGAATGTGTGCTTCGTGGGGAGAAGAGACAGCTTTTGCATTCAGAAAAATTATAGTAGGGAGACCAGGGACAGTTGCAACACGGGTTGGTTGTAACACCTTCAATATCTCCAATCACAAACAAGCTAGAGTGATGAAA